CTTGCCTCTGGTGCATCTAACTTTTAATTCAAACGTTGTTTTCTGAGATGTCAAAACACACATCCATCACTCTTATTCACCATTCTGACACCCTCACCCCTTGCCCCAAGGTACTCTTCCAGAATAAGTATTAATTACCAACCAGTCCATCTCACAGCTGAACACTGCATAAAGGTCTCTGGGCCAAAGTAGATGTGGACAAAAGCTCCAGCAATTTGCAGACCTCAGGATTTATGGAGTGATTTTTCCCATCCCTATGCCCTGGGCAGTCAGGAGTTGACCATCTCAAAATTCCTTACTATGTACAGGCTGAGAATTTCTCAAATGGGGAAAAGTGGTGGAGTGAGTGAGAACTGGCTCCTGAAAGGAAAGCCTTCCTTATTTTCACCCTTGGAAAAAAAAAGGGCACAAATGCATCTCTCCTCCCCCTTCCCCTCCCTGCTGCCCTTATAGCTTGTAGGGGCTGGGGGAGTCGGGGCATTCCAGCAGCTGCTGGCCAGTATCCTGGAAACTGCCTCCTTTTTTCCCAGTCCCAGCCCCTTTTATGAAGGAGACAATGCGGACATACAGTGAGTGCCTTGTGCATCACTTGGGCCCCCCGGCCCTTTGACATGGGGATTTTATACAGTGGCTTACCACCTCCCTACCCTCCCTGAGGTGCCCCCACACCCAAAGCAGGGGGCTTCAGCCTCGCCTTTTCCTAGATTATTCCGAAAGAAATTGCATGCCTTATTTTCCCAAGGGCTCAAGAGAAATATGTGTAATGTGATACCAGGTAAATAATTCAGATAATTCCAGAATTTACCCATGGATGTCTTTTGGTTTGTTTACCCGAGTCTCTTCTTACCATTTCTCTCCTTTTTTCTTCCACCCACTCCCTTGCCCACCTCTCCCCAAGAGTCCCATGCATTTCTCTCTTCATTGTGTTTTGCTCTCGCCCCTCCACATCATAGGAAAGGCTGCATCCTGCTCTAGATAAGAAATGGTTTCCATGCAAAGTTTGGCTTGGCTTTCTCTGCTTGTTGTGTCTTGATCCAGAGGCACAAGCTCAGTCAGAGGATTTGGAGGAATTTGCCATTACAATAGCCTAGTGTCCTTTTGCATGCTCAGTGAGGAGACCCCATTTCTGGATTGAAGGTACAAGCCAGCTCTTGAGTTTGTAGCTAAAGGCCTCTGTCGAACAGTGATAGAGGTGTGAGTCAGGGCTCAAATTACAGGGGATTTGGGCTCAGCCTTATTCACTGAAGAATGGCTCCCCAGTTTCCAAGACAGCATTCCAATATTTGCTGCATCAGTTCCACTGAGGTTTCTCCTAGGAAGATCTGAAAATCTGTGAATTAGCCTGAGGTAGATAATGGGAGGTGAAATGATCATTTATTATTCTCTACTGGTAAAGGTGCACTTCATATCTGACAGAAAATTGCTGTATATGCTTCCTCCAACCATGGTAATTGAGGTAGACTGGGGCTGGTTTAACAGAATATCTCTACAAAATAAACTTATATACTTTCCAGATTACTTCATAAGAAGAGGCATTGGGTTTCTTATGTCCCTGTAATCATGTCAGAGCTGGGGCAGAAAGCAAAACATAGATTTGTTTGATGCCTTTGCACCCAGAAAATAAGTCCTTTTCCAGAGCATGCAGCTTCTTAATCAGAAAGAGAGAGGGGTTCAAGGCAAGCTTCTTTCCTGCAAGCCAGGGCAGACATTTGTCTGTTTATCACAGTGCTTCCTCCCTCCCAGTCCATGGGGCCACATTTAAGTGGATTGCCTGGCTCTATAAATCCCACCCAGGAACTGCTCTTGAGCATGGCCCTGCAGTTTTCTTCAGTCAAAACATGTTTACATGCTAATTCACTGAGATCACAGCAACCGCACCAGCCCATCTGCACCCTGCCTAGCCAAATTATAGCTCTGTGCTCTGCTGAGCTGAACATCTGACATGCTTTAAATGAGGGGCTGGCCAGCCAAGCAGTGGTCAGTGCTGCAGACTGCCTGGGAGAAGCAGTGGGTCTCTGTAGCCAGTGGCTTGCCCAGTGTCCCAAGCTTGGGACGTTGAGCCCTCCTGGGGCCATGAGCTGCTCCTCTCATCACTGGGAGCTGAAAGTGAGTGGGGATGCTTCCAAGGTGCCCAGAAAGTTTTTGGACTGCCCTTCTGGGCACAGTTCCTCTGCTGCACTACGAGCTGCCTAGGTAACTCTGCAGCAGTCAGGTCCTAGGCAGAGGTCTGGAGGAGACTTGCTCAGGCGGTTTTGGGGCAGAGAGCATCCACAAATGTCTTGTACAGCCAGGAGACTGCCAGAAACATCCATCTCTCTTTCTCATGCATCACCACCACAGCAGAGTGGTCTTCCTTTCCTCTGTCTCATGCCCACTGTAAGGAGCACAAGCCATTTCAGACATTGTGCAGAACTGACCAAAAGAGTCTCTTGCAAGAGGTATGATACTTCCACAGCATCAGCAGCTTGCTTCCAGCAAGATTCCAGCTTGCTTCAAATATGAGGGGCTCCAGGAGGATGCTAAGGCCATTTTCATTTCATTGTGATAGCCTCTACTGCCCAGGGGCTCCAAAACCCCAGGTGAGAATTGAAAATATCACTCCATCCATTTCAGAGATGTTTCAGTGAGAAATGTTTTATTCTTACCTTGGGCTGTGTCAAAATGATAGGTGGACCAAAATATTTGGCTGCAAATTGCATAGCACCTGTAGTCTTCAGAGACTCTCAGAGCAGGTTAAGCTTCCTGGGGGACTGTTTTGGGAATAAAGTGATCTATTTTACTGTTAAAGGAAAGTTCTAGGGACACTGGATGAGACAACCTGTGTGGAAAGTGGGATAGGACAGAGAGGTCACACAGTGTCTAAGCTGAGGCCCCTTGCACTACTCCCACAATTCCTAATGCTGGATGCACTCTCTGTGTGACCACCACAAGCCCAGCCAGTACTGCAGAAAGGAGAAAGATGGTTTTGTAACCGTGGGGAGGCTAATTTCCTGGACCAGGCAGTGGCAGCCTCTTTGATGTCTCTGAACCAGGCTGAGGGCTGTGGTCAATCACACTTCATTACAAGCTGAAGCAAAGCATCACCAAGGAGTTTGCAACCAGCTGGTCAACAAAGAGGAGAGGCCATAGAGGGAGGAAGTGTGTTCCATAAGTGTGGGTAAGGAATATATATTATGAGCATGCTGGGAATAAAAACAAACTTGTACCAGGGAATAGTACACCTCAAATTTCAGACCAGTTCCTGTGAGCCCTCTGAAAGCTTATTGCAGTTTTTAAGAAGTCACTGGTTCCAGCAATATCCCCAGTGTTTAGGAGTGGGGAATGTTGCCAGACCCTCTTGAGCCATGCCTCCAGAAATTTAATAGAATTATTAAGTGCATTTAGAGTTCCTGTTTATTGTTAGAGGCATGATGTCTTAGCTTGTCTGCTGAGTTGTTTTTTTCATGCAATGCTCATAAATTTAAAAAAAAAAAAAAAAGGAAAAATGGGCAGAGATCTGCTTTTTATACCAAACTGGGTTTTTTTGAGTCACCTGGTCTTGGTTACATTGGTTACACCTGGCTGCTACATTGTCCCTCACCTATGCAGAAGTCTTACAGGCTGATGGATGGGCAGTCTGGGAAGGGAAGTGTGATACAGCATTCAGATGTCCTTGTTAGAATTAAGCAGAAGACTTTTATCATTTTTAACGTATTTCTCTATTTTAATGAAAAATTTTTACTTCATGTTGAACCAGAATGACAAAACAACTTTTTTGTTTACACGTCATATTTCTGGGGGAGGGGAGCATGCAGCTATAAACTGATGTGATTCAGCCATGGGGAAAATTGCCTTCCTACTGTCTCTCCTTTTTTTATTGGAACAAATAGACACATAGTAAAAATGTGAGCCAGCTTTTTTTTTTTTTTTTTTTTTTCCTTATACTATAAAATAGGGAGCAAAGCCGGCTTCCCCTCATTTTCCTTTACTTCTTTATTCTGGCCTGTCTTTGCCAATTGGAAACAGAACCCAGAGTTACTTTGTCTCTGGAAACAGCTCTTGTAGGTCTAAACTCTTTTCAATGCTTTCCAAATAGAAGAGCCCTTTGGAGCCTACATGGCCTTCTGAAAGTTTACAGGGGAGAAAGACAAAATAAATTCATATTTTCTTCTGTCAAGCTTGTTTGGTGAAAGGAAGAATTGGGGAGAAATATTCACAGGGAAATTTATATTGGCAATTTCCCCACTGACCAATCAATATAAAGGGCATTATACACAAATATGAATAGAAAAAGCTAAACCTGCCTGTCCTTTTCCTCTGTTTTCTTCTCCAGCACTACTGTCAGCCTTCTCCTTGCATGAATAACCTACTAGAAGTGCTTTGTTGTCTGCATAGTGTGGGGAGATAGGAACAGAGGTGGTAGAAGGTGTCTGCTCTTCTCAGAGCAGTGTTCAACCCCAAAGCAAACACAGTTTCTCTGTTCAGGAGAAGAGATTCTTCATCAGTGACCCTGTAGAGATGCAGATACAGTTTCCCTAAATCAACAGCAAAAAGGAACAGAAGTGGAAAGCAGCTCTGGCATGAGAGAGCATGAGAACAGGCTTCACAAGTACTTCAGCTGTGATGATAAAGCTCCTTGTTCAACATCAGAAGAAATTCCCAATGCTGTGCCATATGTTGTTCTTCTTTTACAGAATAAAGATTGAGTATTAAATGAGATATAGCAAGGAATCACTGATTAGAGTTGTTCCCTGGAAAAGATTAGGGGAACATTTGGTTTTCAGTTTGAAAATTAAATGAAAAAGTAACAAGCCTTGAAGGAACTTTCCAATGTGGTTTTCATCTGGCTTGGCAGGTTTCACCCGGAGAACATACAGGTAAAAGAAGATAGGGATTACAAAAACATGCTGTGACCCAGATAGAAATTCTTCAGCAGAAAGGGAAATGCAGAAGCAAAATCATATGTAATGGAAGCCAAAAATCTTATTGAACCACGTTTGTCTTTCTTGTTTCTTCTGCAGGGCCAAATATTTCCAGGGGAAGAAGGTGAATGGAGAATTTGATATCCGAGTGGAACAGGTCAGTGCCAAGTGAATTTCTCTCTAAGGAATGTATGTGGACATGGCTAGGGAGAGGAATATGTCCCAGGAACAGTAATGAGGTTCATAGCCTGATTTTTCTTGTGCTCCACTGGGCACTGGACACATTCTGTTTCCCTGTTAGCCTTGGCACCAGATATTCATTTCAGTTGAAGCCTCTTCATGTTGGGGTCTGTCCCCTGCTCTGTGTTGGTGCAGTGTCTGTCAAAAAAAGTCCCATATGGACTGAGACTGGATGCTGTTGCCAAAAGAGAAATTATTATTAATAATCATCATCTGCAGGCACCCAACTGCCCACTCAGCAGGCATAAGAAGAGAGAGATGTAGAGATAAGAAGGTTGTCCTGAAGGAATCATGTGCTTGTTTTATAGTCGTTAGGACTATAAAAATGTTTGGGGGGGGTAAAGAAAGCTGCTGAATTTTGTTTGAATTACCTGGTATTTTCTGGTTTTATAGCTGTTGATTCTGTTAATTCTGAACACAGATTATTAATGCAGTGCTTTTGAGGACTTTCTCAGGACCCATTGCCATTGAAAAGGTGTTTCTTTTCTTTTCAAAGGGATCCTGTCCTGTTGTCTCTGACTGTTCATGAGCACACATGTTCTGATCAAACTGTGTCCGGGACAGATTTTTCTTTTTTATTGATATCACACTTGTCAGTCTGAGTGGTATTAGCAAGAATCATTCTTCCTGGCATTTCCTTGTCAAAGTCTTTATTTTGTTGTCTGCCTTAGCAATTATCCTAAAAGAGAACAGGAAAAATTTAAAAATTTGCAAATCATGCTACTCACTTAGAAGCAGGAAACCAAATAATTTAGGTTTTCCCTTCAAGCCTCTGATCCAACCCTCTCCATCATTCAAAGCAGGTTCAGCTTCAAAGCTAGACTTGGTACTCTTCAAAATGGCCTGTTAATTCCTTCCTAAACCTCCAGTCTCTGCCTTTCCCCTCATAATCCTTCTCCTCAGATGTTATTGCACTTGAAGTCCTTATAAAGGAAATGCCTTCAAATGTTTGGTGAGCGCAGAAGGTCAGGAGTGGACTCCTGATCCTTGCAGGGGGATCAAGCTGTGACCCTTGTCACCGTCACAAGGTAGCTTATCACATGTCCCCACTGACCCTTGGAGGGAGGTTTTCCCAGTTTACCTCTTGAAATCCTTCACATAGGCTGAATACCCATGTTCCAGATGAGGCAACAAATTGCTCCAAGCAAAGACCATAATGGAATTTTGCTGGTGGAGACCATGGCTAAGCCCCTGCAGCTTTCATTAAATGCCCATATAGTGACTGCAGTATTGCCCAAGGGAATGAAGCCCCCAGTGGGTAGGAGAGTTGAGGAATGGAAAACAAGGATCCTGGCTATTTCCACTTTTCCCCTCACTGCCACTCGGATCAGGCAGCTCCATTTAGTGTGCAGGGAGCTGCTCTTGAGTCCTCCAGACCTCAGAAGGAGAAGGCATGATGACTTTGCCCAGCTGGATCACTATCTCTCCAGGGAAACACAGAGGCTGCATTGTCAAGGGCAGTCCTTGAATCTGACCCCTGGCCCCTCTTTGTATTGTTAAGGTCAAGAGAGAGGCACTGATTCCTTCAGACTCTGGCTTTTTCTTCCCTTCTTATTTTGTCCATCCATCCTTTCTCACTATTTCTTGATAGTTAATTTTCACTCATTGCTTCTACCCTATTTATTTGGAGCCTTCCTAACTTCACCTCTTCCTCAAGCAGTCCAGGAGCCTAATCCCCTAAAGCTGAATGCTGACCCTCTACCTGAAAAATGAATGTTCTTCCACAGTTTTCTTATGAAAGAGAAAAAAAATTAAAAAAATAAAAAAAACAACTGTGTTCATCAACACAGTCCACATTTTTCTCTGTGAGTTCCCAGCTTACAGCCTTCACTCCTGTAACTCTCCCCCAAATGGCAGACAGACTGTGCCATGGTGCACAAGCCTTAACCTGGCTGTTCAGTTCTGAATAAACTCTCCATCCAACAGTTTGACTCTTAGGCACCTCTTGAACCATTTGGTCTGCTCAGTAAGTTCATTTAGTTTTTCATTTTTCCATTTGACCCTGTTTCAGATAACCACACATTATTAACTCAGCCAGAAATGCAGTTTGCCTTAGGAACTTTTTTTAGATTTTATAGGAGAAAAACCACTTTTGATCTGAAAAGCTAAATAACAAAGAAGTTTGAATGGCAGAAAGCAATGAAAGGAAATATCCAAATGTTAAATACTCTTGGAAAACCACACTGGGAAAAAGCCATTGCCTTATTTTTACTGACCATGCTAACTCTTTTGCCATTCTTCCAGGATGTTTAGTAGTTGGTTTGAACTTTTTCTCTTGTCTTTCATTTCCATCTCTGTTACATTTTAATTCTTCCTAAGCAAGCCATTTTAGTAATCTGTGGGGGAAGCAGAACAGGATAGTAGGTGATATTTTCTGAAAGCCATGACATCACTTATTTGTTATGGAGCAGGAGCGCTGCAAGCAGCAGTGTCTCTCCCTCTCTCAGTTATCTAATCTGGTTGTACGCCCCTACCAGCTCTGCAGGCTGCCTCCCCCCTCCCCTGAGGAATGCAGGACATATGTGATCATGCTGTCCTGCTCTGTCTGTCCCCCACACACAGCTCTGTGGGACGCATTGGCTCGCTTCAGCTGAATTCGAGAAACAGGCAGATGTTTGAAGATACTAAGTTTCTGCAAGAGGTGAATCCAGTTCATGTTAGACGCTGTATGTAGGGAAGAGGCTGTTAAATGCCATCCTGCTGCTCAGGGAGCTGCTTCTGCAAGTCTCAGCTTGTATGAAAATAGGTTTCATGGACTCTCAGATAAGGTTTTCTGGTTCTTTGGCACCGAGTGAATTACATGCCTTGATAGGAACCCCAGGCCCTAGTTCTTCACATCCAGTATCTCCAGGAAGAGACAGGGGTTATGGTGGGCATCACCTGGTGCCAGTGGACGAGGAGAGAGCTGGCAAGGACACTGGTACACCACTCTCCTGTCATTCATTAAAATTAAGGTGAAGCCTGACTTTGTTTCCACCTTTGTTTCTTCCCTTCTGATCTTCAGTGTAACACTGAAACCATATTTATAATATGCTTTAAAGGTTATTTAATTTAAAGGTTATTGATTTATTATTGTCCACCATTTATTGAAACCGGGCAAGTAGGGTCATTGCCTTCTTCCTGCTGGCTGCAGGGAGGGAGTGAAAGGCTTCGGTGGTGTAAAGCCAGTTCAAGCACTCTCCTGAGTCATGGCCTCTTTTTCTTTGGAGGCAGTTTGGATTACATTTTGCTCATTTGGATATTTTTCCACTTCTGTAACAATGATAGCCGTTCATGAGACTGATTGAAACACTGATCCAAAAGTGAAAATCTATTTGACCTATTCTGATTAAAACCCTGATGGTTTAAGTTTTACTCAGTGTGGGTAAAGCTCTAAGCTTTAAGAGAACAGCTGAGTCTAAAAATACTATCTCTATTTTATGCTAAAAATAAGCTGCTTAGATTTTGATCCACATTGTTGCTTTTACTTGTCTGGTGATTTTTAGCTTTCAGAGCTACAATGTATGCATCCCTAGTTCTTTTCTCTAGAAATACAAACACTAAAAAAGTTCTTTTAGAAGTGAAAAGCATAAGTTTGAATAAATGGCTCTAAGGCTAAGTTGAACTTAAAGAAGAATCTTAAAGTGCCACAGGAGTGGACTTTGCTTTTAGTCTCTCACAAAAAAAAATCTTGCTTTTATCTCCTCAGTTCTTCATTGGCCAGAGGGCAGGAGGCATTAGGAACCACAGTATACTGAGGAAGAGGAGGAATTATACCATAAGCCTTATGCTCTGTCAGATGTTTTTTTTCATTAGAGAGAAACTAATTCAGCACCTCCTTCCCCACCCTCTCTGTGCTGTCCCAGAGGAAACTAAACCTTGTGTGCCCTAGGGATTTCTGAGGTTTTCCATCTGGATCATTACATACCTTGTGTGGGGTCTCCTTGGGCATGAAACATGCCCCAGGGGAATGTCTCATGGCCATACATCCCCAGCACATCCACAGCCAGCAGAGGAGGGTGAGAGAGATGGGGCTGAAACCTGGACAGCCACAGACCCATGAGACAGTCCATGACCCTGAGGGTGGGGGGCAGATGAGGGGGACACTTGACACCTGTCTGGAAGAGTGATGTCTGCAAAGCACATGTGCAGAGCAGGGTCACTGGGATGGCCACGGAGCTCTGGCTTATGGGAGGAGACTGGAAGAGCAGAGTTTGTTTCTCCTGCCATAACAGAGGATAAAAGAGACATGGGTGCTTTTAGTAAATACCTTGGTGCAAGTAAGGGTTTCAGGACACGGTGCCAAGCGTAGCAAGGGATTAAACCCTGTGGCTCTGATGGGCTTTTCCAGTCCTGTGCCCTGCATGGACCAATGAGGGACAGCAGGCAAGAGCAAGCGGCACCTCTTAGAGAGGATCCACCACCTTCAGGGTCCCTTTCCTGCAGGTATTTCCCAAAGGAATTTTAATATGTTCAGAGACATCTTGGCATTGGCTAACTGATGGTGGAGTGGGGTGAAAAGTGTGAAAGAGGAGTCATGAAGACCAAAGGTCCATCTACATTTTTATGCCTGATGTTTGTTCACCCTTCTTCCCATCATTTCCTTGCTGTGACGAGGTGGGTCCATCTGTCTGTCTGACACGCATTTTTCTTGCACAGCTCATTCACTTGTTCCCACTGTTCAGTTTATTTTCAGGGAATTATTATTCAGTGAACTCCTATGTACATGCTTCTGGAAAAGTCTTGTGGTATAGATTATGACTCCGTTGGCAGCATTGTCAGGAAAAAGTTGTACTTGGCAGTCACAGAAGATAATTGTAATACAAATCATGAATTCCAGCTCCATTGTACTTCCCACCCTAAAGAGGTATTTTCATGTGTGGTGTAAAATGGTCCTTTCAAAAACTGGAGTCTGACAGGTCTGTGTGTGATGAAAGG